AACCACCTCTTCTTCGAGTGATGATCCCTATTATTCCACTGGTGGTGATTAACAAGCAGTACCTAAGTCGGAAGAGGGTGCAAGGATGAGGAAGGAATGGTTGTGTGGAGAACTGCCATCCAAAGGAGGCATCTGCCACTGAGTCCTGCACTAAGACAGTGTGCTGCAAAGGTGTGTAAGAACTCCCTGTAGCCGCTCTACATTGTCCCTAACTGAAGGGAGTCCATGGTCAAAGCCCGAGCTCTCGTGGAGTTAGCCTGCACCCCTGTGGGGATAGGTAGGCCTGACAGTTGGTGGCAGGGTGAAATGCAACCCAAAATTCATTTAGAGATCCTCTAGGTGGAGATGGCTCACCCCCCGAGTCTTTCTGCTACTGCAACATATACAGCCTAGGGGCGTTCCTGATTGGTTTTGTTCTCTGCAAGCAACAGGCCAGAGCTCATCAGACATTGAGGGAATGGAGTTGATGTTCTTCTGCAGATGCGTGTGGTTTCAGGAAGAAAATAGGTAAGTGAATAGATTGATTGATGTGAAACTGGGAGACCACCTTTGGTAAAAAGCTGGGGTGTAGATGTAGGGAAATGATCCTTCTCTAACACTATAAAAGGCGGGTCCTCTATCATAGCTTCAAGTTCACCAACCCTTCTCGCAGAAGTGATAGCAACAAGGAAAGCAACTTTCATGGAAAGGAGGGACAGAGCACGATGGTAACAGTTCAAAGTGTGGTTCCGTTAGCATGGAGGGAACTAGATTCAGGTAATCATTGGGGTGTGATCATTTGGATGGGAGAGGTTGTGATGAGGCCTTTCCAAAACCTAGTGGTTAGTGGGTGTGTAAAGACAGTGCAACCTTCCACTGGACAGTAGAACGCGCTAATCACTGCCAGGTGGACTCTCAAAGAGTTGAGACAAAACCTGATGACTTCAAGGACAGAACATAATCCAGGATCAGGGGGATCCCCATCAGTTCAGGCAGAAGTTCTTTTTGTTAGACCCAAGATGAGAAACGTTTCCATTTGGCTCAGTAACATTGCCTAGTGGAGTCCTTCCTGCTGCTGGAGAGGATGTCTTGCACAGCAGGAGAGCACGTGCAGGCTAAAGCAAATGGCCATCCAAATACCATGTTCTGAGGTGCAGCGCATGTGGATTGGGATGCCTGATCTCGCTGTTGTACTGGGTCAGGAGATCGGGGAAGTTGTGGAGGGGAATTGGTGGGCAGAATGACATGTGGAGGAGATTGGGAAACCGGAATTGCGTGGGCCAACAGGGTGCGATCAGAATGACCATTGCGTTGTCTTGTTAGATCCTGTGCAGTACCTGAGGCAGGAGAGGTAGAGGCGGGAAGGCGTAGTTGATTTGGCCTGACCAAGAGAGCAGGAGAGCATCACCCTGAGAGTGGTGACCGAGGCCTCCTCTGGAGCAGTATGTGGTACATTTGCTGTTAGTTTGTGATGTGAATAGGTCTCTGGTCAGGGTCCTCCGTCAGGTGAAGATGCTGTGTACTACTGAATTGTGAAGTTCCCTCTCGTGGGCATTGCAAAACGTCTGCTGATCGAGTCCGAGACTACATTCTGTGTCCCTGGATGACAGCCTGCAGACAAGAGAATCTGGTGATTGATGAACCAATTGCAGAGATTGTGCATAGAGCGGCCCATCACGTTCCTGCTTGTTGATATAGGAAACGGCAGTAGTGTTGTCTGATATGAGGAGACCGTGATGGGAGTGAATAAACAGAAGAAAGGATTGGCATGCCTTTCTTACAGCTCAGAGTTCCCCCCCCCCCACCAGCTGGAGACAGTGAGAGACCAGTGCCAGGTCAAGGACCTGCCCCAGGTCCCGGAGGGGTATGGGGGATCAGGGCCCAGACCAGGGGTGACCGTGGCGGGGGATCAGACCCATGACTCATGAGGGTTGGGGGTTGTCTAACTTCTCCTTTCAACCTGCGCACAGTCCATGGCCCCTCCTGCCCTCTCCCAACCCATCCCCTGCTCCCTTGGTGCCCCGGAGGCACATAGTCATGTACCCCACAAGGTGGGAGGGAGGCTTCAGGCCTGTGAGCTGTGCTATGCCAAGGACCAAACCCGCCTTACCCAGGTCCCGGGAGATTTTGGTGATGCACAGAGTCACTGAGTGGCTCTGGTTGCCTGTGACCACACACACACACCCCCCG